AATCGTTCAAAGTGCCAACTTCAAGGCGCCTGATGAACACAGAAAGCGATGAACACACTACGATCTCGCAAACTACCTCCTCCATGCAATACTACTCCCACATTCCCTCCGCTTTGTCCAATCATCTCATCATCATCACCAATGGCTTGCAGTATTCCTGTGCTTCTCCCTCGCCTTGATAGCAAAACACGAACCTCAGAAAGACCCACTCCCATTTCTATGCTCTCTCATTTATCCACGCGTGTGGCCGAACCATTCTCGTCGTCCCTTGTCAGCACTGCCTATCAGAGACTGGTAGGATCTCTCTTCCAACTCACAAACACCATTACATCTGCGCACCGAGCAGTACACTACAAAGGCATCTCAACACACACACACACCATCTTATGCACAATTGGCAAGTCAAGGCGAGACAAACTCAGCGAGCAGCGGATATGCTACCAAATCAATCGCAGGACACAACAGAAATGGTCTCTCGTGGCCTCCAAAAGGCGGTACATGTGGCTCCAACACTACTCCTTCCTGCCTCCTTCCCGACGAGAGGCACTCCGAAGCTGGACCAGTGCAGCAACCCACTCACGCACACAGGGGTAAGTGAAGCACCCCTCCGTGGTCTTGAAGAACTCACTCAACCATCCCGCTCTCTGCGCCTCCAGTTCGTATTCGTAGGCCTGCAATATCATCTCAAACTTGTCCAAATCCTTGCATACCACCGCTTCCGGCGTCTTCTGCTCCTCATACTCCTGCACATCACAAAAGACAAAACCAAACACGAAAATGCACTATGCAAAACCAAAACTGCAAATGACCCACTCCCTTTCACATGTCGCCTTCCATTCGACGCCCGTTGCAACTCACTTACAGTGCAAATCGTCAAACCCACTGACAACCAATTATGGTGCGACCAATGCATATTTAATGAACCAAAACTAGGGGGAACAAACTACAACGTGCTATTCAATAGGTTCGACATCCCAACTACTCCTTATTCCACTTGCATAAACAATAAAACAAACCATTTGCCTCATTCATTGCACCACACTCTATCAGAATGACCACACCCTACTACCGTATACATAACGATGAAAACAATCACAACACATCCACCACAACCCACCAACAGCCTCCATGCTCTTGTGGCTGCATTCACGGCAAGCCACGTCAACTACTCAAATCACGCACAGCGACACTAACACCCTCTCTCTGAACTACCTCCTGAACTCGCCTTCCCGTAGGCAAGAAGGAAGTCACTCACCTTCCACAAGCCGACCAATTCGCTGCCCAATTCCGGGGGTAGTTCTTTGCACAGAGCATTCAGAGCAGCCTATGCAATCAAAAACACAACTGCATTTTACCCCCACTCATCAATCATTCAATTCACCACTACTAAACAGCATTGAGGAGGACCATCGAACACTGTGTCTCATCCTCAATTCCTCGTCTCACGATCTTTCAGCATACAATCAACACTACCTACACTGCTTGCTTTCCATTATTAGATCGATTCAGACAAATACCACCTCCTTCTACATCGGTAGCTAACACTACCACCTAGCATTAACCTCCTCACTCCCCACGAAGACGAAAAACCGACTAACCACACCCCCACCTCACAGCTATTCGGAATATCGACGGTTTTGAGGCTGACTACAGATTGCCCTGCTAATCAAGACGGACCAGTATAAACCCAACTTC